CCCCCCCCCTCTCCTATCTTGCATGCATCGGGTTTGAGCTTCAACGAACATCACTGACACTATAGCTCAATAGGCATTGCGGAGTTCTACGCCTCAGTTCTGCCATACCGCTTTGGTATGAGGGACAAGGAGTTTGCTCTGAAAAGCACGAATATCCAGACACAATGCTACTACACGAGTCCTCGCATCCACATGAGAATGATTGATGCAGCAAAGGAGTTTTTCTACGACTGGTACGCCGAGTGGATCTCTTACAAGCGCGGAAACGCATATCTGATCTTGATCGACTGCATTCTTCGACAAGCAACGGGCCGTTTTGGCATCGAGACAAACAGTCCATTGGACGATATCGTGATTGATATTTGTCGACGGGCTCGTGGAGGCCAAGTCGTCCGAAGCGAGGACTGGCTATGCTATCTCGATCAGTATAGCGATTCCACGAACGGATTTCCATTCAGAGAGCATTTCAAAGCAATGCTTGAAGGCGAGATGATAGATCTTTCCCGCGCTTTTCTAGGCAGTCCGGAAGATTCATTCAGCCGATGTGATATACGAATCCTAGACTACGGACTCGACAGAAACAGTTTCAGAACGTGGACCGTCACTGGTGTGCAAAAAGAGTCTGCTGCTTATGCAGCCGGACTGCGTGATGGATGGAAAATTCTTTCGGCGTCCTCCTATAACGACAGTCTCGAGAATCCGGATGTGAAACTTCGAATGCGTGTGAAAGACGATGAGGGCCAGGAGAAGACGATTGAATACCTGCCACGTCGACCTGAGAAGGCTGTTTGCTATCAAATTGAGTACAAACAGGATTGACGGAGCTCTGATCGGACTGCTGCGGAACAAGGGGATGCCGGCGAGTAATGATGGTTTCCAAATTCCTAGCTGTAACAATTTGGCTTCCTGAAGTCTCGAGCCAATTCCGACGCGCCCGGATATATCTGTGGACATTCTTCTCTTGTAGCATTCCGCTACATACCGTACACAGCAGACTACCTTGTCAGGCAGCAGCATAAAAGCAACGAACGTACTTTATTTCCTACAACCCTACCTAGAGTAGCATCATACAGTATCAAAGCAGTTCGCCTCTCGAGAACGAGCTGACGAGAGCTGACCCCGTATATACAAGGTATAGTCTCACAAATACAGGTATCCTTGTCAGCAAAAGTGTAAGCAAAACAAGAACATAAAGAAGTAGAAGTACCCGTACCTCAAACTCCAACTCTACAAACCAATATGTTGATATTTCGACGACACACATCTGTATTCCTGTAAAGAAAAAGCACTTCACAATCATCGCTAGCCAAAAAGGAAAAAGACATAATGCGCTTCTTACTATCCTACCCATCAGCACCATCAGCTGCAACGGCGACAACAATAATAACCCTCGTACTCTGTCAGATTATTGCTCAAGTTTGCGCAAGCGATGTGAATATTTGCAATAAACCGACCGAGGCACAACTGGCTGCGGTACGTACGCACGCGCTTACTATCCTACAAACATCCTTATACGAGAAACCTACGCAACTAACATTTCCAAATTCCAGAACGGTAACCTCAATTGCGAAGACTTTCGCATAGGCTATACAAATGATTTCTGCGGAGGAAAAGTAAACACTGTACGTACTTTCTTGCCGAATTGGTACCTACCTACGAGAACAAAAGACCGTACCGTACAGAGTCGAACCAGGTCGGCTAACGCAAAAACACAAAAGTGTGCCGGAACAAACAGATTCACATGTTATGGAAGAAGGTCGACAAACAGAAGCACGTACGTGTAGATTCCTTCAAAAATTGGCAGCAGACCTGCTATTGTAAACATAATGTGTATTCTCTTTGCTAATATAGGGAGAAACAGAGGCGAGGTCGGTTTTGACGCAACTTGTTACTTTTATACCGAGAGGAATGAGTTGCTACTTTCAGAGGAGCGCATCTGAGCGCATGCTGATCGCCCTCTTCGCCTTCTCCGGCGGAGCATCCGTATCTGGTGGACTATCCGTATCAGGAGGACTATCCATGTCAGGAGGACTGTCTACTTCTGGGGGGTCATCTGCGTCAGGAGGGCCATCTGCGTCGGGGGGGCTGTCTGCATCGGGAGGGCTGTCTGGGTCTGGGGGGCTGTCTGCATCGGGAGGACTGTCTGGATCTGGAGGGCCGTCTGCGTCTGGAGGGCTGTCTCCATCTGGAGGGCTGTCTGCGTCTGGAGGGCTGTCTGCATCTGGAGGACCGTCTGCTTCTGGAGGACCATCAGGTTCTGGTGGATTGTCTGCATCTGGAGGACTGCCTGGATCCGGGGGGCTGTCTGCATCTGGTGGACTGTCTACATCCAGTGGACTGTCTGGTCCCGGGGGACTTTCTGGGTCAGGAGGACTGTTTGGGTCAGGAGGACTATCAGTGTCTGGTGGGCTGTCCATGTCTGGAGGACTGTCCGCATCTGGTACAGTCGCTTCTGGAGGAGCATCTGTACTTGGCGTGTCCGTGCCTGGCGTGTCCACGTCCGGGTTGTCCGTGTCTGGTGTTTCCGTATCGGGAGGTCCGGGGACATCAGGAGGACTGTCAATGTCGGGAGGACCGTCAACGTCGAGAGGCCCGTCTGTATTGCTCTCCTGGGTGACCGTGGGCCCAATACCTGTACCGTCCGTAGTAAATGAAGGAATGTTCACCGTCCCAGACGACATGTCCGTAGGCTCGACCCCGGCACCTCCTGTAGTGTCTGGGAGACCGAAAGCGGCCCCATTTGCTCTCTGTGTAGAACTGTCCACTGTACTCTGCTGAAAATCAGTATTCGGAGCGCGGCTCGTTTCAACTTTCATCAACTTACGACACTGAATCCATTGATACCACTGGTGAACAGTCGGTAGACAGTCAACATCCCCGTAGTAGTGATTGTTGTCGCTGGAGGACCCGGCAGGCGCATAGTCAGGGCGGACGTGGTGAGCTCGTAAGCGATGCCTCCATTGGTAGGACTAGTCGTTTCGATGGTCGATGTTCTCAAAGACCTAGAGGCAGTCGTAATAGCTGGCCCAGGAACAGTTGAAGTAGTAATGTAGCTCAAGTTTGGAATTACACCAGGCCTGACAGTACCAGCTCCACTTGTCAAGACGGCAGAGGCGTTGCTTGCGAGAGGCTGGCTGCTACGATTAAAGCCGACTGTGGTGAGCTCGTAAGCAATGCCACCATTGGTAGGGCTAGTCGTTTGGATGGTCGATGTTCTCAAAGTCCGAGAGACAGTCGTAACAGCTGGCCCAGGAACAGTTGAAGTAGTAATATAGCTCAAGTTTGGAATTACAGTACCACCTCCACTTATCAAGACGGCAGAGGCGGTGCTTGTCAGAGCCAAGCTGCTATAAGTAGGGCCGACTGTAACATATACCGTGGTCGCATAGCTGGAGACGTTCCGAGAGATGGTGACAGTAGTGGTCTGTTGCAGTTCTGTAACAGTCACCGTTCTGTTATAACCGGTAGTACTCCCACTGCCGTAAACAGTAACGGTGGTTGTGGCCGAGATGTCAGAAGATGGAACCCGCGTGAAGTTTGCGCAACAAAGTGCTGTTCCATTGGCAAAGGAGACGACAAGACTTCGACCTCTCATGCACTGGGCACAACCCGGGACATCGTTGTTCGAGAGGTAGTCGTCAATGTATGTGGCGGACAAAGTCGTGTCATTGATGGTGCCGTGTTTGCCAGATAGATCGCCTGCTGCACAGTTCTCTGGGTGGTCGACGTCTGGACATGGGTACTCGCTTGTGAATGGACTCAGCCGTCCACCAGCTGACGAGCAGTTGGAATTGGCCTTTACGCGTCTATGGTGAACATGGTAGACTTGATATCATATCAGCACACTTGACTAGGCCTGAGAAACGAGAGGGCCTACGGAAGGGGCCTCCTAAAGCTGGCAAATCTGCAAACTCTGCCTGTATGCTCACTCCACTCCCACCCGGGCCTTGTCCGACCGAAACATTGCCCACCACCTGCTGTGCGCCTGAGAGTGTAGCGACCTATCGCTGCAGTCCATTTCCCTGACAGACAGGCGTGAGGGCGGCCGAGAGGGAAAAGACAGCTGCAAAGCTGGTGACAGTGCGGAGAGGTCTCATAATCGAATCGGAGGAATCGTCCAAGGGCTGAGGTGTTGCGTGACACGCGCTCTGAGGATGCGGTGAGAGGAGGGCGAGAGGATGATGCACAAGGTAAGAAGATAGGCCAGAAGAGGATGAGCAGGAAGATCGTGGAGAAGGAGGCCAATCCGGACGGGGAGGACATCCAGGGAAGAAGGAGATAGAAGGAGAAAGAAGGAGAAAGAAGATGAGGTATGGCAACCTGAAGAGACGGATGCGTGCCCGGCATCCATATCCGTGGTCACGGCTCGGACTCCGTGTCCGGATGAACATAGCAAAGCAAGTGCGTATTGCAATCGTGGCAGGCGCTTCATGAAGGAAGCAAGCCCCAACATACCTGTTCCATGTCGGAGAACTCACCCTCGAGTTGTACGGTTCCGGCTCAACACTACACGTCCCTTCATGTGGTGGCCCTGTGTTCTATTTCTTGCCATCCCTAAGCAGAAACCATTCACTCCATGAGGTTCCGAGGCGCCTTCTGCAACACTGGCCCTACCAGCGACTCACCCCCGCCCCTAGCTCCTATTTCACGCGACCAAGGACCTCCCCACAATGCTATCGCTCGAATGCGCTCCAGTGAACATATGTCTCAACGGCAGAAGATTGATGCTCTGGAGAAGAAGCTGCATGCTCTGGAGGACACCATAGCAGCTCAGCGGGATGAGATCAAAGCGCAGCAGGACTGGCGGGAGACTGCTCGTAATGAAGCCAATATGAAGTCGCAAGAAGCTGCGACACTGCGGGCGAAATTGGCAGAAATGGATCAGAGGGGTGAGGATTTGCAGGCAGCAGAGCGAGTCGCCACGACACTCAAGCAAGAACGAAACAGTGCTTTGAAAGACTTGGGCTCGCTACAGGAGAGACTCGGCGCCTCAGAGCTCCGACTCTCTGCCTTGCAGCAAGAACGAGACGATCTCTCCCAACGTCTCAGCTCGACAACACAGCAAATAGCGGAGTTGAAATCAGCTCAGCAGTCACTGTCGGACCTGGAGCAAAAGGCTTCGGCCTTACAAATCGAACGAGATGAATTATCTGGCCAACTTTCTTCGCTGAGGAAGGAAAAGGAGGCAACAGCCATGGCCGGACAAGGCCTTTCCGAGCAACTACTGGTGGCAAATAAGACCATCGAGCATCTGCAGGCCGACTACAAGAGTCTACAGCAGGATAAGGATCGCATGACCGTCGAGGCTGCTGCCAACAAGCAGGAAATGCACGATCAGTTGTCTGCCGCCCAGCAGGAGCTCCAGCATGCATAGGAGCAGAACCGCAGCTTGCAATCTTCGCAGGATCAGATTACTAGCCAGCTCGCCGAGGCCAAGACTAATCTCGTCCAGGCCAATGGAAAGCTTGATGGACTGCAGGCGAAGTTTGACAAGGCACAGGCTGCGTGCGACAACGTGACCAAGTCAGAGCAGCTCGTAGCGAAAGATGCGCTTGCAGCACGTTTGGACAAATTTGATGCTCTCCAGATTGCCTACGACAGGATGGTGGTGGGGCTTGCTGCGTCGAGGAGAGACTTCGCGGTCAGCGAGGAGAAACGAATGTCTCTGCTGCATGCACATGACCTCGATACCGCAATCCAACAATCTCGAGATGCAGATCTTGACTACTGCCGCTCTAGAGCTGCAAGATTACAGCAAGACCTCTTTGCAGCTCAAGAGGAACGAGCCAGTCTCCTCCGGGAGCTGAATACAGTGTCAAAGGAGGCAACGCGGCTGCGCGAAGAACTACGAGCATCATCAGTTCACGATTCCGACCAAGCCGAGCAGCATCGTTTGCGTGTGGAGATTGCCAGCCTTCGGGATGAGTTGTCAGACGCCCGGAAAGCGTCGGAGAAGCTCAAAGTTGACTTCGATGCCGCAATGGAAAAGGCAATTCACGAGCAGCACGAGGCCACCAGGGAAGTCTCTGCCGTCCGAGATGACTTGCGCCAGAATCTCGACGCTACCGCTGCACAGCTCGTTGATCTTCAGAAGACTGCTGAACACATCACGGCCGAAAGTGAGGCGTCACTTGCGAAAGCAAGAAAGGAAGCCCAGTACACTATCGAACGACTGTCAATGGAGCGAGACAGCTTGCAACAACGAATCGAGGCTCAGTCCGTCAAAGCAAGCGAAACGCTTCGATATGTCGAGGAGGTTCAGAACAAGCTCCAAGCCGATGCTGCCGCCGCCATTGAGAAGGTTCGGGTGGAGAGTGCAAATCAGCTTCGAGACGCGCAGGCTGAGCGCGAAGCTAACAAGCGGAAGATTGATGAACAGGCGGCCCAAGTTGTCGAGCTCCAGAGACTGCAAGGTGATACCCAGATTGCCTTGGACAAGGCTCGTCAAGATGCTGCAGAGCTGTCCAAGGCACTCATGACCCAGAGAGATGAGTTACAAGTCAAGTACGAGAACCAGATGGCACAGATTGAAAGTCTTCAAAAGGCCAAGGCGGAAGAGTATGTTGCCATAGAGACGGCTCGGCAACAAGCCGAAGATCAGATCAAGACCGTTTCAGCAGAGAAGGATGAGTTGCGGCAAAGATTCCAGGAGCTAAGCTCGCGATACGAGGATCTCCAGAAAACCAAAGCCGACCAAGACGTTGCGATGGACAAGTTACAACAGGACCTCGCCAGTCAGACACGAAGCTTATCGTTAGAGAGGGATAATCTTCGCCAGCAGCTCGATGCTGCAACATCAAAGAATGCTGATCAAGAGAAGACAGATCAAGAGACTCATGCTCATGCAGCCGAGGTCGAAGCAGCACTGGAGCAGGCTAAAAATGAGTATCAGCAGCTGTCGAGCGAGGTAGCCCGCCTTGTGGACGACGTCAATCAGCACAAACAAGACGAGATAGAGCTGAATGGCAAAATTGGAACCGCGCAGGCGACGATTGCCACCCTCGAAGCTGAGAATGCCCAGCATCAGCAAGCTGAAGCGGACCTCTTACGCAGTGTCCAAGACACGCAAGCCAAGGTTTCCAGTCTCGAAACCGAGACCATGAAGCACCAGCAAACGGAAGCAGATCTGAACAGAAAACTGTCGGAGACGGAGGTCAAATTGTCCGAGTCGGATGCGTAGAACGCACATTACCAGCAGACGGAATCTGATCTGACCACAAGACTCGCTGATGTCGAAACGCGGGCAGCATCACTCCAAGGAGAGATTGATCGGCGCAAGCAGAGCGAAGAAGATGTTCGTTCTCAGCTTGGAGATGCTCAGGGACAGATCACTTCCCTCCAGTCTCGAATTGACCAGGAGCAACGTGATGAGAGTGAGCTGAATATAAAGCTGTCGGAAGCTCAAGCAAGACTGGTATCTCTCCAAGCTCAGGTCGACCAAGACCAGCAGATGAGTGCCGAGCTGCAGGACAAGATGCGAGAAGCGCAAGCGAATGTCAGCAGCTTGCAGTCTCAAGTTGATGCGAACATGAAGACTATCGAAGACGACCGCGGCAAGATGCAGGAGGGCCAGCTCAGCCTTGACGAGGCTCAGAAAAGGGCTGCGGATTTGGCGGAACAGGTGGACAGCCTGCAAAAAGAGCTGGCCCAGGCGAAGGTTCAGAATGCGGTGGCACCTGAGTAGCGGCGGCAGTACAGTCATGGATTATCTGTAGATTTGTGTCTCCCGTATGTTCCCAGTAGCCGTGGCGTAGACTTGTGGCTTGGTAGGTACCTTGTACGACGCATGTTGTAATGGAAACTCTCCGCTGTAATGTGGTTTTGGCGTTTGTCGAGAGGATCAAGTTGATGAGAAGAACTGAAAAAGGAAGTCCGAACAAGAGAAGTGGAAGTACATGTAGGTAGAAAGTGAGAGTGAGAGTGAGAGTGGACAGGAAGAGATATGGAGGTGGACCTACGGGCCGGGCCGGGTCAAAACGGACGGCAGCGTTCGGGACGGCACGGCCGTAGTCCCTTGATTCTTCCCTCACTTTCTCTTTTCCATAACGCATCAAAGACCGTCGCTATAATGATCTCCTGAAATTAGAATAATCTGAAAGGCACCCTCTCTACCTGCCGTCGTCCACGCTTCTCTCAAACCAGACATCAAACCCAGCTCGACAATTCTCATGCAGACACGGCTGCAATTGTTTCAAGTTATCCGTACGCAACTTGGTATCCCGAGTTTTCTCAACCTCAATCATGTCAGAACCGCATCAGAAATCTTGGCTGCCAGAATAAGAGTAAGAAGAAGCCACAGCCGTCACTGCCGCTGCTGTTGCGAGAGCGTCAGATTCAAGCAAGAATGCGAATTCGACGGGCGAAATTGGCTGCTGCGATGAAACCTGTGCTGAGTAGAAGGCAGAAGTTGTTGCAGCATCGGGTTAATGTGTTTATAGGGGTGGAGAGGGGTGCTGGGGGCTCGAGTGTTAAGGTGGGGGAGAGGGGAGAGGGAAGGACCCTGAGCTACGTTCAAGTTGCATCTATTTGCTGAAATACCTATAGCATATCTGACATCTTGTAGGTATGAGTATTTCCGGGGCTGCATGAGCAGCGCCAGATAAGAATGCGTGATGAGGAACCTGAGACTGCGGTAAACGCTATCATTTGTGTAAGTGCCCGTATTTGCGGTTGCTAATATGAGCAAGAAGGCCGTCCTGGAAGAGCGGCATCGTTGTTGGACGTGCGTGCATACTGCGCAGAGTGAAGCCCAAATCACAGTAGTAGGTCTATCAAAAGAGAACGACATTGAATCTCAATTCGCATCATTTTACCCCTAGAAACGCATCTGTAAACTGGCGCCTTCTTTGTCTATACTGTGATACTACTTCTATGCTTAGGTATACCTAGTATCAGAGGATGATTTGCAGGAGATAAGACATGCCCCTCTCCGCGACCAAGTTTATCGACGTGCTACCATCTCATTTCTTTTAATCCTCTCGATACGACAATGTTCTCCGCAGCCGCAGATCAATTCCTCTCCGAGAAGAGACAATGGGATGCAAAAGTCAGGTATCTGCTCAAAGAGCTAGGAGGACGCATGTCTTGAACACCAGCGAAGCTTCGCGGTTGTGTTGCCTTCAACCAAGCAATGTCACACGTTTTGGGAGAATCGAGCGAGACTCTAGACAGAAGAACAATTGACTAAGGTATCTGCCTGCCTCCATGCTCTTTTCGTCGGGACAACTCTGCCGTCTTCCACACAGCGTCCTCGGTGCAGCGCAAGTGAAGTTCTCACCAATTGGAAGTTCCCAGCCAAGCGGTTTAGCGCGTGGAACATAGATGTAGTTGCCTGCACGACCAACGCAAACAATGTTCGCGACTTCCTTGGCCATATCGAACACCCAAAACATTTGATGGGACCTTTTCCGCTTGCAGTGCACACAATAGCTTAAGGTATCAACACGCGCCCTGATATCACATCATCAGCTTCACACATCCACCATCACACGGGTACATTCATACCTCTTCCCAGCCATGGACAAAACGACATTCGCGCTGCTGCTCTTCCGAGCAATCCAGGTACGCGCCCCTGCTGTTCGAACTCACCACGCGACACGACAGAACTCAGACCTGCTAACTTGTCCTTGTCAGATGCTCGCCGCCGCCCTCGTCCTCAGCCTTTCCATCTCCCTCTACCGAACCCTCCACATCGTCACTGACCATTACGACGACAAGCAACATCTCGTAAAGAAGTGGTTGAACCCCTGGATTTCCTCCGTCGGCTTCGGCGCTGCTGTCGGCGCGCTGGGCATGCTCGACGCCATCGTGGGAATTGTTTCAGCTTTCCTAAACATCGTCCCCTGGGTCGCGGTTCTCACACTGGATATTCTCGCCGCAATGTTCTTTTTGGCGAGTGGGCTGGTGAGTTATACCTCCTTAGAGTCTCCTTAATGCACTGCGCTGAGCTAAGATGAGATGAGCTGACTTGGGGGTGCGTGTCACAGACTTTTGCCATCATGTCGTCTAATCCGTTCAATCCACGACCTTGCGGCAGTATTGTGCGCAACGGTAATGAGGGCGTCCACTTGCCGCTTTGCTCGCATTTCACTGCTGATGATGGTTTCATGTTCATTGGGGTTCTTGCTACCATTGCTGCTGCGGCACTCGCGCTGGTCCCTCGCCAATCGAGCAAGTTCAGGGGCACCGGTTCCACGCCAATTTCGCGGCACTTCTGAGGGGGAAGTCGTTCTTCCTGTTTCTTGACCTATACGCCAGTTTCTCACCAAGCGAGGCGATTTCTTCTTCTGGGCGAGAGAATCCGACCGACTCGGGAGCGCTGAGCAGATGGGCGCACGTTCGTCGCCTTGGGGCGTTTGCATGTAAGATGAGTTGGCGCTGATGGTTGACGGATGTACAAACAACCGTCCGAGCGGTCATCTATGATGCGTACATGGATAGAGACTCAGGAGAAAGCCAGGCGTATGCCTGGCTATACTGCGTTCAGTTGGCCGAGACTCTGCGCGCTCGTGATTGTACAACAAACCTACTAGAATAGCGCATGAAATCGTGCTCACAATAGCGATGCGCATCGCGCTCCATCTTCACTTGCAGTAGCACCGTTCAGAAGCTCACTGATGCTCTGTTTCCTCATCTCACTCGCCACACGACGGCGACACTACTTCTCCCCTCTCTATCCACCGTCATCCCGCTCCTGACCCGCGCTGATTAAGGAGTGTATATAATACCCCTCAAACCCAACCCACACATCTCGGCAAATCTCGCCGGACCTTCAGTGGTCTAGCGGTTGAGTTAGAGCCTCGAGTTCTCTAAGTCCGAGTGCGGGGGACGGTGATAGGGGGAGAAATATCATGGTCTTATGGGTGAGACAAGATACTTTCTCTTCCTGTTGTCGTGTACATCTTCATTCGTTGACAACACTCGGTTCGAATCCGCTTGCTTGATTCAGCCTGAGATATAGATGTATAACATCACTTTTTTCTTTTGGCGTTTGCTTTGCTTTTGTTTTGTTTTCTTCTTGTGTGGGGAAGACAACATACCTTCTTTCATTTGCCCCTTTTTCCGAGATCACACTCGGTTTTGATTGTGCTCGCTTGATTCATGCTTGTTTGGAGTTTTTCATTGTTGTTTTGTGCAGGTGTGAAAATGTGTGTGTGTGAGGGGTGTTGTCGATTCTTGTTGTTATCCTTATTGGCGAGGGGTTCGAACCTCCACGGAAGACTCCTTTTGACGCGCTGTTCCAGCTATTAGTCAGCGGATGATCGGTAGGTATCGCCATCGCATCAGCAACATGCCACCTCGCTGCCAAACCTGTACCCAACAAGACATGGAGAGTCTCACAACCAGCAGAGCTGAGGCTGGAAGCGCAGCGCGACATGCGAAAAGACCAAGGTTTCAGAGCCCTTGGTGAATGCGAGCTCGTCCGACCATTACATGGTCCGCATAGAAGGATTGACTCCTTCTAGGACATCTCCTCAAAGGACACTTTGCGACCACGCGCTCGAAGCTGCCGTTACTTCACACGATACCCGCGCGCTGATCGAGCAGAACCAGACGAGAGTCCCGCGAGGGCGAGGCATGCCTCGGATTAAGAGAGGCGCATGTGCTCACGTCGAGCAGTCCGAAATTTGAACACAACAGCCCAGGGCACGATGGAAAAGCCTAGAGCCCAATCCACGACAATCTTTCTTTGAGACACTTCTTCCCGCTCCATCGCCAATGCCGGCTCGCATGCTCATGGAATTGCTGCCCGTCCCACTGAATTTCTGCTCCCACAGTCGCTCATGGGCTGGTGGGATAACATCTGCGCTCCATCAGCCATGGCACAAGTGAGAGATGTGGGAAGAGAGCAACTACTCATCACGTGTTCTGTTCTTTTGTACACGTTGAGACTCGCCAATTGTCCATTTTCCTCAGTCTGAGAGCTTATGAACGGGAAGTCTTTTTACGTATCGTGCACATGTCCCCTGAGATGGGCGGTCATGTCAAGCCCCCGCTGGCACTGATCTCACGCAGCCTGTGTTTCGATTGCGACTCGGGCTTTCAGTGATGCGTCCATCAGTACATCTCTCCCCTTTCGCGACCCATCATCGCCATCCTGACCCCACGGCTGGAATTGGCCCTCCTCTTCGTCCTGGTTGCTTGACAATCGCGATCATTCATCGTCCCAGATGATGCTGTTAATATCTACAACAGTATCGCCTCATACGTTCAACATCACTCGATGCTCGAGATAAAATGGTACAATGCCGGTGACTAATTGGGAGCGGAAGTGAAGCATGAGGTCGACGGCGCCTCTCTCCGCATGTGAAAACGGGCGGGCCGCGCGCGAGCAGGGATTTCCCACATCGGAACCTTGTCGGCGATACATTTATGCGTGCAGCTGTAAAGTGAAGCTCCCCATCCCGACACTGGAGTGACTTCCATATCCTCATCATCATCACAGCACGCACTTGACATATTTTCGCCTACCTGACTCCTCCGCCCGTTACGATGGCGCGGAACCGTAAGACTGCTCTCGACATGGAGCCTACAAAGCCACAAGCTGGAACACTGCCGCTGCCGACGTTTGATCTCGAGAACTACGCCAGTAACTACGAAGGTGAGCTTCTCACCGTGAATGATGAGATGGATCGGAGCTTTGCACTGATCGTATGCGTATGGGAACAGGCGTGCTCCTCATCTATCGCCTCGCCCACATCGCCCTCCGCTGCCCATCCCTCTCCCATCAGGCCCTCGTTCTCGCCATCGCCAAAGCCAAAGCTGGCAAGGACGTGCAGCTCTACAACCGCCTCACCGAGCTCGCCGGTCAACTGCACTTCACCGATCTCGCTACCGTCGATGTCGACTGGGCGTCACGACAGGATGAGGAGAACCGGAGAGAACACAGCAGGCTGGAGAGTGAGCTCCGAGGATACAAGAACAACTTGATCCGAGAGTCGATTCGCATGGGACAGGAAGATCTGGCGATCCATTACCTCGAAACAGGTGGGCTCGTCCATGATGCGGCGAATCCTTCCTCCAGCGGGACTGGTTACAATTCTGCGTCACAGGCCTTCTCCAAGATGCGGGACTTCTGCGTGACGCCCAGCCATCTCAATGGCCTGTACCTACGCGTCATGTACACGACCGTCCTACAAGCCGCGCAGGCGCAGCTGAACGGCCTTCCCGCCATCCACTACTACAACGTCCTCCTCGCGAACTCGAATCGGCTTAAGAGCAGCGGCAGCAAAGAGGAGGAGATGAAGCTGGTGATGCCCATCCATCACGTTATCGCAGGCATCGCACATATCGGACAAGGAGACTACCGCCAGGCAGCCCGCGCGTTCATGCACACGCCCTTTGAGTACCATAATTCCGGTCCTGTTCTGGGCCAGAACATGGAACGAAGTGTCGCCAATGGGAATGACGTTGCCATCTATGGTGGTCTCTGCGCTCTGGCGACCATGTCCCGCGAAGAGCTGATGGATGATGTGCTGGGGGGACCTTTCCGCGCCTTCCTCGAGCTCGAACCACACATGCGCAAGGCTATTGGTCTCTATACGACCGCAAAGTACCAGACTTGTCAAGACACTCTGCGAAGATATTATAGTGACTGGAGTCTCGATGTCTTTTTGGGCGCTCCTTTGGGCAATCATCCCCAGTCCCACGTTGATCTCCTCTTTGCTAAAATCCGAGAACGGAGCATCACAGCGTACTTTTCCTCCTTCTCCGAGGTGAGCCTCGCCACATTAGCTTCCACCTTTCCGCCCGTCTCCACCGCGCCCGATGCCATGGAAGTGGAGATTCTGGGCATGATTAAGAGTGGGACGCTCGATGCCCGACTGGATGTCGTGGATGGAATTGTGATTGCTCCCAAAAAAGATCTGAGACAAGAAACACACCTGAATGCGAAGAAGGTTGCTGAGGAGGTCGAACGGACTTTGCTCTTGCGTCTTCATAAGGTGAATATGACACTGGCAGGGTTAGAGATTCCCAAGGTGAAGGGTGCGCCATGGGGCAACGGGTATTAAGGAATGGTCTGCTTGATTACTTTTCTGCATAGCGTGGCGGGACCGGACTCGATTAGACTGGCGTTTGGAGCGAGCTCAGGTCATGGTCGTATGAGACCAAGATGAAAAGATGATGATAACAGAGGACATGCCCACGGCATCTGCAGGTTTCCAGAGAATGAAGATGATATGATAGTACCATGAGTCTGTATAGGACACGAGTGAAATACATGTAATGCTTAGAGAGGGGAGCGAGGCTGAAGTTGGGAAAGTCGAATCTTGCCATTGGGGTCCGAAGTCTCCATTTCGAGCGCGATTGCATTGAACAGACGATTCAAATCCGAGGCTACTATCATGTGGTAGTAGTAGGCAGATCTGTTGGTGTGTCTGTCTGTCTGACTGACTGACTCTCTGCCTGCTAACCGGCCTGCTCTTGACCAACTAATCACCTCGCAACCAACCAAACGCCGCTCCCCCCTCCCAACTTCAGGTACGAAATAGCGAGAACGAAAAGATCAATTATCCTCCTTATACCGATGTCCACATTCATGACAAACATAAAACACCGTCGTGCCCTCATCCGCACTCCTCAACTGCAACGCCGTAAAATACATTTCCGGCGAAGCGCACTCGGGACACGTCTGAGAGATTTTCTGTCCATTCTTCTGCAGCTCTTCTTCAGAGACGGATTGCACGTTTCCTTGGAGTTTGGTTCGGAGCTGAGAGGGGAGGGAGCGGGGTCGAGAAGTTTCGACGATGGTCGAGGGCCAGTTGTCTAGGTAGGTAAGACATTAGTGAAAAGGATTCAAAAACTCATATCGGCGTGGGCGAGGGCTTGTTGTTATGGAAGGGAAGATTTGTAGAGGTGGCGGATGGAGAAAGGAAAGGAAAGGAGGAACTTACTGGGATTTGTGGTGCCGCAGACTTCACATTGGATTTTGAGATGGGTGGGAGAAACTCTTTCGAGGAGATTGTTACATGCGGTGCAGAAACATAGTCCGCCGACGAGAGACATGATTTGTTGTTCTTGTTCTTGTTCTTCGTATAGTTGTTGATTTGATTTGAGTTTTGGTTTTGGTTGTTTGTGATTATTGAAAAAAAAGTTCGAATGTTTGAATCATTGAATGAGTGAAGCAAAGAATTAGGCACCTGCAAACGCGGTAGATACGCGCCAAGATCTGGTTGGTTGGAATATCTAGCTAGATACATGCATGTACATCATGTAGTGGCGCTTCCCAGGCGAGATCATACCTTATCCAGTAAGCCGGGGGACATCTTCTGCTGTGATAGGTATAATATTTTGGCTGTGCCGTACGCCTTATTAAATTATTTCATATTTTCTTCGGAATAGTATAGTCGCGCGAATCTACATGCGAGGAACTTGCGCATGCCTGAGTGAAATCAGCAGCTGTCCTCTCCTTCTGGGATTGGTCGATGGAAGAAATACAATTGACACTCGACAATTTCTCCCTCTTTCCTTGCGGATATCGCTGCCAGCAGAATACTTACTTACAGACAGGTACCTACCTACCTGACCTGCCACCCAGTGAATCGCCTTCTCCAATGCTATAATGTATCGTACAGTCCTGTATACCCCGAATTTAGTCACACTCATGACTTCATACGACAGCCGCCGAATCCTTCTCGCCGAAGGCGTGGAATTGCACAAATATAATGGCATCTTCTACCATTGTGCCGAGCGAGCCGATGAGCCAGGGCAAGTTGGTAATGACATATTGCTTCTCCACCGAGTGGAAGAGGATCTGTAGGCAGGTAATCAGTCAGTACGTGTATCCAGAAGTACAAGATCGAATACAGCAAAGTCACGACTCACTCCAGCGCCATATGTCAAGTTCCCGAGTAGACTGAGCAGGAAGAACAGCAGGCTCAACCCGTCACAGCTTCTCTCCCTCTGATTCTTGATGATTTGCGGGATGCGTGCACCCAGATAGCACACGGCACTGATATATCCCAAAATCTCCGCTCCAATGGGCGTTTCTTCCTCACTCCCTTCTTGTCCCACGGGTGTAGGTCTCCAGGCTCCTGCATTGTAGGCCACTGCCCAGCCGGCAGCGCCCACAGCGGCGACCAAGAAGATGGACAAGCTATTCTTCAACCACGTTCGCGTCGAAGTGGGCTCTTCCAGAATCTTGGTCAAGCTGTCTCGGCGCTCATTCGTGTTGGTACGCTGCCTCTGCATGGCATTGCTCGATCTCCTAGATCCGGGCAGCCCCAGATTATCCTCCGTCACGTCTGTCAAGCGTCTCTTTGCAGAGTTCGTAGGACTCTGTGGACCTTTGCTTCCTCCATTCGCGTTCCCATTGAGCAGCGGGGTGACCTCGCTGCTTTCCGTCCTCTGCATGACGGCATTTCCCACTGCCACGCTGTGGTTGTTGTTGTTATTGTTGTTCTCCCCTGCCTGCGGCGCTGCACGCTTCTTCTTGAGCCCGAGATAGTACACGCATTGTGCGATGAGGATGAGATCCGCAAAGCAAAAGTACACGGCGAGGGCGATGACGGTGGGCACAAGACCGGCCCAAATGGCACCGGCGAAGTTGGTGATGTCGCCGATGAACCAGATGAAGAGAAAAGTCAGCGAGATGCCATCGGCATGGCCGTTGGTGTAGTTTTCAATCAGCTGCGGCACGAGAAGGAAAATCCAGGCGGCCAACGAGATCGAGCCGAAGATACCAGAGAGGCATTCGTTCCATGTGAGGTGAATGGGAGACATGGTCTCTGTCTCTCTCTCTCTCTCTCTTTCTCTCTCTCTCTCTCTCTCTCTCTCTCTCTCTCTCTCTCTCTCTCTCTCTCTCTCTCTCTCCTGTAGATACAGCTAGAGGTAGTTAGACCCCCCACGACTAGGTAAGCACAGCTCTTCTTCCTCCTCTTCTTCACAATCTTTTCCACTCCAGTGACTTGAGTGAGAGAGAAGGGCACGCGACCAAAGCCAAGAGATCTCTCCTCTCCAACAGCAAAAAAGGATGATGACACAACAAAGCGAAACAAATGTTGAAACAGTCCCACGTCAAAGATGCCATCCTTTCCCGGCCATGCCAAGACCTTTGCTTGACTTTGCTCGCGCACCAATCACATCGCCTCGGATCATAAGCCGTACCTAGTACAGTATACCTTGATCCTTTCCAAGCACAAGTTGCACAACCACATAGGCACTTGGCACCTTTCACAAGCTACGCTCCTTTAAGCGATATGTATAATGTACCTTGTGCATACCAAGCCTCGACAGCTACACAGCATGCGATCCACCGGTTTAGCTTATTGTATATAGTCATATGCCAAGTAGAAGCCGGCTATACTAGTGACTTTCATCTCTAGCGGCCGAGGAAGGCCGAATGTAGACGATAG